ATTTGTCAGAGAGAGAGAGAGGGAGAGAGAGCAAGCACAGGCAGACAGAATGGCAGGCAGAGGCAGAGGGAGAAGCAGGTTCCCTGATGAGCAAGGAGCCCGATGTGGGACTCGATCCCAGGATGCTGGGATCATGACCTGAGCCGAAGGCAGCTGCTCAACCAACTGAGCCACCCAGGCATCCCTCCAGCCTCATTCTTATGTGGGTATCCTGTTGTCCCACTACCACTTTCTGAAAAGACTATTTTTTTTTTCTCATTGAATTATATTGGCAGTCTTATGAAAATCATCTGACCATAGATGTAAGGGTTCATTTCTGTGCTATGATCTCTGCGTCTTTCCTTAGGCCATGCTACACAATTTTTTTAAAGATTATTTATTTATTTGACAGAGAGAGAGATCACTAGTAGGCAGAGGGGAGGCGGGTAGCAGGCTCCCTGCTGAGCAGACAGTCCGATGCAGGGCTTAATCCCAGGACCCTGAGATCATGACCTGAGCCGAAGGCAGAGGCTTAACCCACTGAGCCACCCAGGTGCCCCCATGCCACACAATTTTGATTACTGTAGCTTTGTAATAAACTTTGAAATAAACTTGAGTCCTCCAGCTTTATTCTTTCTCAATATTGTTGTGGACTTTCTGGGTCCCATGCATTTCCAATTCAAGTTTAGCATTAGCTTGTCAATTTCTGTAAAAAAGGCAACTCGAAATTTGATCGAGATTGCATTGAATCTATAGATCAATTTTGAGAATATTGCCATCTTAACAACATCAGTTCCTCCCATCCAAGAACACAAGATGTTCTTTTTTTTTTGTTTAGGGCCTCCTTTCATTTTTTTCATACATGCTTTGTAGTTTTCAGTACATAAGTCTTAATGTTTCTTTTGGCAAATTTATTTGCAAGTATTTCATTCTCTCTCTCTCTTTTTTTTAAAGATTTTATTTATTTATTTGACAGAGATCACAAGTAGGCAGAGAGGCAGGCAGAGGGGGGTGGGGGGAAGCAGGCTCGCCGCTGAGCAGAGAGCCCAATGCTGGGCTCGATCCCAGGACCCTGAGATCAAGACCTGAGCTGAAGGCAGAGGCTTAATCCACTGAGCCACCCAGGCACCCCGGAATTGTTTTCTTAATTCCATTTTCAGATTATTCATTGCTAATGTATAGAAATACAACTGACCAAGTTATTTTTGTGTATTGGTCTTGTGTCCTGTTACACAGGATAAACTCGTTTATTAGCTATAATCGTTATTACTTTTTTAAGATTCCTTAGGATTTCCTACTTGCAAGATCATGTCATCTGCAAATAGAGATAGTTTTACATTTCCTTTCCAATCTGGATGCCTTTTATTTCTTTTCTTTTTGCTTAATTTCCCTGGCTAAAACCTCCTGTACAATGTTGAATAGAAGTGGTGAGAGCAGATATCCTTGTCTTGTTCCTGATCTTAAAGAAAGCTTTCGGTCTTTTACCATTAAGTATGATGTGGGGTGTAGGTTTTCACAGATGCTTTTTATCATAAGGTTGTAGGAGTTCTATGCCTAGTTCATTGAGTGTTTTTATGGGGAAAGGCTGTTGACTTTTGTCCAGTGCTTTTTTTGGCATCTGTTGAGGTGATTATGTGTTTTCTCCCTTTACTCTATTAATCTGGTGTATTACATTGATCGATTTCCATGTAGGCACCAGCCTTGCATCCCTAGCATAAATCCCACTTGGTTATGATGTGCATCCTCTTTATTTTTGAACTGTTTACTTAAGGTCAGGTTTGAGGTTTAAAGATTTTTATTAATTTTTTTAGAGAGAGAGAGTGCGCGAGAGAGAGCACAACCAGGGGGAGGGGCAGAGGGAGAGGCAGAGAATCTCAAGTGGACTCCACATTGAGTGTGGAGGACAACACAGGGCTCGATCTCATGACCCTGAGACCATGACCTGAGCTGAAATCAAGAGTCAGGTGCTTAACTAACTGAGCCACCCAGATTTGAGGTTTAATGATGAAATTAGAGAAAATCTTCTTGGGTTTTGATCATGCTGTGTTTCTTAATCTAGAAATTGTAAAGGCATCAATTTCCATGGGGATTAAACTTATTATTAAAACTTAAAATAAAATGCTAATTAAGATTTTTGTCTCCCCAAGAATTAGGTTTTAGAAAGGCATAATATTTTGGATGATAGTGAATGGGATATAATCTTTTTGTTTTTTTTAACTTTACAGAATGATTTTTTAAGTGGAAAGAGTAGATCAGCCCCTGCTCTAAAGGGTTTATGAGTTATTTTGAGAGATAAAATAAATAAGCATGAAATTATAAACAAACATTTA